AAGTTTGACCATTCAACTTAACTGACTGACATCGACACAAACGCTTCACAGCTATGCTCAACACCTCCCTGAGAGGTCTGTGTGGCAGACACAGCACAACTTGTCCAGATGTTTCTCCCAGTCCGGTGTTTCATTTGACCCAGAAATTCTGGGAGCTGTATCACAGATTCCTCTGCTCATGAACACTGAGGGAACTAGTAAATTACATGGATCAATAGTGAGGCTCTTATGCTCAATCTTTAGTGTTCCACAAAACTGTGGAAGTAGCCCTGCTAGAGATGGAAAAGTGACTTTTTCTGCTGAAATATGGTTTCTGTACTTTACTACAATTCAAATCAGAATGTGTCAGTCCCATGAGACAGCTGGTAAGTGAATAGCATCCACTTTATAGCACATCAGCTTTACTTAAGCAAAGCTCACTCTCTCAGGAAAGATGATACAATTTTTTTTTTTTTTGTTCAGCAGAAAAAGCAGCCACCACGAAACAGTGAATGACATGAAAGCAGCAAGTAATTCACTGGAAGACATTTAGAACCATAGTTCAAATTTACATCTATGCCAGACATTCATCAAAAAAAAAAAGCCTCTGCTTGCAAAGAGAAGGAGAAAGTACAGCATTCGTCATTGCATGATCTCATGCCACTTTGTGGACTTCGGGTAATACCAGATTAAGCACATTGGGACACATCAGCAAAGCTGAATTTAGATTGTTAAAGAGAAAGGCATTATATTGGAGGATAAGAGAGCCTCTTCAAACAGTTGCATGAAACTCAAACTGACCCTCTGACTGGTATTATTTTGATGTTCATGAAGATTATTTCTTACGCTTTTCTCTACTGCTATTTCTTCCATTTCTATGTCCATGTCCTGGTTCAGAATAATAAGCAGCAGGATTAAAAGGTCATCACTGAAGATCTTGTCTCATATTTTTGGCTTTTTCTCAAGCAGGAAACATTATAAACCTCAGAAGAGAGACTGCTCTAAACACAGTTTCCCCCCTAATTTCAGCACACAAGGATTTCAGATAAATTAAGATTTAAATACTTCTCTGGCATCCCAACAGGCACTGAAGTTTTCACATCATTTAATGACAAAGTGTGTTTTGGCTCAGGGTATGGAAAGCACTGAAATATCATCTGAATACCCCTCCAGAGCAAATAAACAGAAGAAGCTTCTAACACTTGGAGACCTTCTCACTGATCAGCAAATCTTTTATTAGTTTGCCTAAAAGTAGCAGAGTGTTTTCTGTCTCTTGATTTCTTAGGGAAGAGGGGCCATATGCTGCCTTTCAGATACGACAGAAGTGTACTCTAGCTTTACTTGAATAGCTGACAACTCGCCATAAGCTGAACCACACGCATCTTGCATGAAAATTCACTTTTGTAAATGAAATGGCATTTATACAGCTGCTCAATGACTATAGATGAACTCCAAAATCAACAAACACTGAAGGACTTTGGACAGTGAGGATACAAACTATATCCTTCTTATTGGATCTATCCCTACCACATGGAGTAACAGATAAACCTTTGAAGTTCTGAATTTGGGTTGGCAGAAAAGAATCAAGAACTTTGCCTAGCTGAGCAGGGTGTTTTGGAGATCCCATCCATTGCTTTAGCAGCCCAAAAAGAGCTATAACCATCTCCAGGTAATTCTGGTTTTTGAAAATAATCCAAGGGTTGGCTGCACTTCAAGTGAGGACAGCATACGCCTTATCTTCACTGTTTCTTTGATCATGATAAACTTTGGAAATGCTACCAAAGGGAAAAAAAAAACACAACAAGCAGAATACATAAATATGTATTCTGTGGGTATAAGGCATATATCAGCTTCTGACCTGATAACAAGTTGTCACATGATACTGGTGATTATTGGTTTTTTTCTGCCTTATTCATTCACACAAAGGTGTTTCCTCTGCCAGTTGTCTGAGAGAAAGAAACTAATCCTTTGGTTTTCATTATGTTTCTATAGTAAAAAAGCCACAGTACTCACCTGTCTCAAGTTTAGACTTTTCACTTTGTCCTTGACCAAGGAGAGTTCCCAAACACACACAACTGAGCTTGTTCCAGATGTGATTATGGTAGTTGCTGAAGGACATACAGCACAGAGGCACTTTCCCCAGTCTGCCATGCACTCAAACGTAGTCACATTCTGTACAAGAAAGCAGATTTCAGTGAAACGTTCATCTGGTGATGCCATACGTTTATTAATACCAAATGGCGGATTCAATTTTCAGAACTGAGCCTGCATTTCTTCAAACCTAGGAAAGAAAAGCTTATCTTAACCAGTCTTTATGCTCACAGCACAGCTGCATAATATGTACATGCACAGGCTGTGGCTGCATCCAGCAGTGCCATCCTTCAGTGGCCAGACAGGAAGGCTGGACACAGGTCAGTATCTTATATTTTAGGAGACCCAGGTCCCAATCCCTCTTGTGCCGCAGACTTCCTACATAACTTCAAGCAAGTTCATTCTGCCATGTAGTGACAGAATGCAAACATTCAATGCAGATTAAAAAGAAAGCTCATGCTGTGACAGCAACTGCTAACAGAGCTATTGCCAGGCTCTGCAACTCTTCTCTTACTTGGACTGAAAAGCTAAAAGCCAAAGCACTAAATTCCATTCAGTGCCAATGGCTCTGTTACCAGCCCCAAAACAGGCCTAAACCAAGCTGGAGGCTGTTACACACTTCTGCAATTACAGTACAAACATCCTTCTGCTCACATTCTGCATTAGTTCTCTCTCACACGAGGGAGACAAAACTATGGTGCCAATGATTCTGGTGGACCTGGATATCACTGTTACCGAAAATATACTACAGACAGAACAAATCTTGACCTACTTACAATGAGGACCAAAATTTCTGTTAAGCTTATGTCCAGAAGCACTGTTGACCTAGAGAGAACTGAAGTTGGACTCTCAACTACTTCTCATAGTGGCTGTGTAATCACAGCAAGAGGGCCACTGACACCCTAGCTTTTGAAGAAGAGACAAATCAAATAATTTACACCTATGGCAACACTATAAATTGCTAAGCACAGATTTTAATTGAAATCAATGGAGAAAACTCTCAGTAATTCTACAGGGAGCAGAAAGTAAAATACATCTCATGGCTTTTTCACTTCCATTGACTGTGAGTATGTCTGTGAAGACATAATGATATGGCTTTTTGAATCTTGCTGAATGACGTATTCTGCTATTCTGGTACCCAAGCTAACTCAGATGTCTTTGTGTGTCATAACATTGCCCCAATCACATCCAAAATTCAGTGTGTTTGTGGTAGAGGAAGAAACTGAATCTGTTGAGTGCCCTAACAAGCAGTGTGACGACATAGACCGTTTATTTTTAACAGCAAAGAATTAAGACTATTAACTTTCTAGAATAGAAGACATTATTATTTTGAATGAATGCACTGGGCTAAGCTTGGGAGCCAGAGGGGAATTGACAGATGGTCCTATCTTAATTCCAGCAGAAAGTTCTGCACAATGAAATTTCTAATCAGCGGCCAGGAGACCTTGTATTGTCCTTACAACCTATGAAATGAGGTTTCTCCATTTTGACGGACAACACAGTCACTGGAAGGAAAACTTGACATAATTTAGAGCAGAAATGCCACATTTTTTTAGCAGCATAGAATGACTTTGTACTCTGTTGGAATATCCAACTTGAGATTCCTCAAGAAGCTTGACTGTGAGAAAGTACTGTACAGCATCCTCTGAAATCAGCTCCCAACAGCTTCTGAAATGGGTGCCCAAGCCACTCAAAGACCACTACATATCATTAATTTCTGAAATGCTTAGACTTTCTTATTTACCTTCTCAGACCCATAGTTGCCGAAGCAGCAGGTGAAGTCCTCAAATCCCCAGCAGAATGTTTTGCTCCAAAGAGGAGGAATCAACACTTTATTTTTTTCAACAGCCAGAATGCCTTTCTCAGTATGAACAATGTGCCCAATAGCTCCCTTGGGATAGTCTGACAAGACAAAAAACATAGTTAATTCTGTTGGATTTAGAGCACTTGTGTTAACTTTCCTCCTTGCACAGCTTGTGTGGTGAGGCTGGCAAGTCCCACAACTGGGTTCAGTGCTGTGGCCAGGCCCACAGACAGAAATCCACTCTTCACTATTCTGTCTGGAACCTCAGCTGCAAACACTCCTCTCCAATGGACCACATAAATCTATGCAGAGGGACTGAACAAACATGACAAAGTTTCAAGATTTCTCCTGAATATTTGAGTCTTCTCAATGCCTACTCACAATACACACATACACCATCAACAATTGGCAGAAGTGATCTACATTGTACCAACTCATGCAAAGCTGTGTGACTATTTTTGTGCTTTGAAAATTCATATTCACCCTATCCAAGAATTCTGCACTTATTAACTCAGAAAATGGAGCACAGCCCCTAAAGCACCTTTTATTGTAACTGGTGAGAGCTTCAAATTTTGCAGGCTGCTCATAAAAGGAGGAAGAATTCCACTTGAGTGAAGGGACAGCACAGTCTCTCTTTTTGATGAACTTTTCCCTTGGACATTCCTGGATGGATGTGGTTTCGTGAAGAGCTAGAAAAAAGGAATGGCATTGAAAAATGAATCTCTATTTGCCATATCATAGAATCACAGAACGGTTTGGGTTGGAAAGGACGTTAAAGATCATCTAGTTTCACTCTCCCTCCCTTCCACTAGATCAGCTTGCTCAAAGCCTCGTCCAACCTGGCCTTGAACACATCCAGGGATGAGGCATCCACGACTTCTCTGGGCGACGTGTTCCAGTTCCTCACCACCCTAAGAGTGAAGAATTTCTTCCTTAGATCTAATCTAAATCTACCCTCTTTTAGTTTAAATTAATTACCCCTTGTCCTATCACTACATGCCCTTGTAAAAAGTCCCATATAGGCTCCCTTTAATTACTGGAAGGCTGCTATAAGGTCTCCTTGGAGCCTTCTCTTGTCCAGGCTGAACAGCTCCAACTCTTTCAGCCTGTCTTCATAGGAGAGGTGCTCCAACCCTCTCATCATCTTCATGGCCCTCTTTTGGACCCATTCCAAGAGGTCCATATCATTCTTATGTTGGGGGCCTCAGAGCAGAACACAATACTCCAGGTAGGGTCTCATGAGAGCAGAGCAGAGGGGCAGAATCACCTCCCTCAACCTGCTGGCCCACGCAGGAGAGACACCTGTTTAAATCCTTAATCACAGACTCCAGGAGTGTCATATATGAACCTCTTCATTAAAATAAAATCTTACTCTTATTACACTTTCGTCAGACTACATCCCTTCCTCACAGAGATGGGGAGCTAATCCCAGAGATTCAGGAGAAGAGAAAAGTGTAGGTGAGGCGTTGAGCTGCTTTTATTTGACTGTACCCATTCCGAGACTAGTGGTTACTCATGTGACTGTACTGAAGCAGCAGAGCTCTGATTTGATGCCACAGCTGTACGGCACACAACAGGAATAGCATGATAAGAAAGTGGAATCATGCACATGTATGTGGGTGCATACTGATGTATTACACAACATGGAGAAGTCTATAGCCCATCTTTCTGCAGATTTAAATCAGAAAATGTCTCTGATTTAAGTTTCTATTCTTGCTTTCCAGTTGAAATACTATGATATCAAAATAAATTATACTCTCTACTGTCATGATGAAGTGGTACCTGCTTTGGTATCTGTCCGAAGTTGCTGATAAAACCCAGGATAGTGCTTTTAATCAGAGGATCTTTAATGTTGTTGAGGTCCATCTTGTCTCCGTAGAAGTAAGGATGATAGGTGTTAACTGCCTCCACTGCAGCTGAGCCATGTTGCCTGTGGCCAAAAATCAGGTCTATCCAGCGATGGAGGTGTGCACTGACATAGTCACTTTCCAATGCCTGAAACCAAAAGAAAATTTATCAATTCAGTAGAGTATATCCATTACAAATGCATTACCACTCTCCAATCCCTGCTGGAGACAAATTCTATGCAAGTGAATCTTCACACTTTCAGTTCTTCCTGTACCATCATTCTCAGCATATCCTCACAAAATGTGACCAAAGAGATGAAAGGTGGATCCCCACAGGAAAAGGAAGGACAGAGTGCAGCACGCTTGACTTAGCAGACACCAGGGGCAATGTCCTCAGAGACAAGACAGGTAGGTTCCACTAAGCAAAGTGCAAGCATTCCACAGATCTTGGCACATCCCCAGCTTCCAGCATACATTTAAGCCTGTGCTATCATGTCTTCACCAATACTGTTACTGACACAAGACAGTTTAAATGAGCAAAACATTTGCTAGCCTTTGGTACCGCCACTTTGCTCTATAGATAAATCATAGGTGAATTAAGGTACTAGTTTATTTGCAGAAATATGCCTTAGTTAAGAATCATATTGAGTAGCAGAGACTTTATTTGAAAAGATACATATAAACATAGATTGGAAAAGGAGATGACTAGCAGAGGGCTTTAAGTTGGGTCTGAAGGATACAGGAGGAGAGGCTGCATGCCATGAATCAGTAAAGAGAATGCAGAGCTTATACTGAAACGGCAAGGAGTGCTGTAAGCCAAGACAGGGAAAGGGTTTTGCAACAGCAGAGTTGGGGTGTAGCAGGGCAGCTGTATAACAGAAGCTTCAAGACTGCTTGTGTTTGATCAAGAAACACTCTACTACTCTCACAGGGCTTAAGCAGAGAGTCGTAGCACCAGATTTCCTCATCCTGGAAAAAAGTAGGGGTCAAGTTTTTTCCTCAAAATAAGAAATGGTTAATTTTGATTAGATTTGCCACCCATAGTGACAAGTATTTAGATTAATGGAACCAGAAGAAACAATTACTACTGGAGAAGACTGGGAGAGATCCTGCAAAACAATACATCCACCCCAATGTGGGCTTCCTAGAAAGCTCAATGTAGTCATAGCGGAAAACTTGTTCTTGGAAGACACAGACAGTGAGTTCATAAGCAATGGAAACAAGTTTGAGTTGAACCTTTGTCCACCTCCAGGTTAGCCAGCCTTCCATGAGGTGTCAGAAAATGCTACTGCCCCTGCCATCACCTGCCTCACCAAATTTTTTTGCATTCCCAAACAGCCTTGCCCAATGATTCAAGCAGCAGTGTTAAGCATTATTAAAAATACTTTCCTATCTCCAAATCATTTGACTGTGCAATACTCCCTGATGCTCAGTTAAAGGTCTCCCAAGCAGACCATCCCACCCAAAGCACAGCAGAAATAAACAAGCTAATGGGATCCAGAACAATGGCTCATTTCACAGAGCAGACAGTTAGCCCAGTGCAGCTGGTTTAAATGACCCTGCCCACAGCTATAATGATCACAGGGCAGCTCAGAGAACAAGCACGGCACACAATCTGTCCCCTGCAAACAACAGGAAAACACTTACGAACAGACTCAGAACTCATCCTCATTAATAAAAGCAGTTAGTCCATGAATTACAAACTGTAAATTTTGCCTGGCATCACCGCCAGAGCAAAACAAAGGAACCAACAGAGCTGCAACTGTGCAGCATTTTAGTATTTCACTGAGCACTATGACAAGCCCAGCCAGGGAGGGAGAACTTGAGGCCTAAGGAGGAATTAAATAAATTTCTTTAGGAGACTAAATTCCTAGCTTATTAAACATGAAACAGGATGCCACTCAGTTTTATGTCAAAAACAATTCTTTGCTCTCATATTCTTTAAAGCAATAGCCAAACCTCAGAACAGTGTTGACCTGGATCTATTTAAAGCACCAAACTCACTGTGAAGCCTCCTGAAAATGACCATGATACCAGTTACAAGTACATCTAGTCTTGTGGATGATTTCAGAGGAGACAGAAACACTCATGTTTCAGAATTCAAGATCTCTAACTCTTCACTTCAGGGTTAGATGAACTTTCCCAGGCAGGCTAATCAACTTGCTTTCCACAGATTTCTTGCACCCTTCTGTGTAACATCTACTCCTAGCTATGGTTGGAGTGAGAATATTGGAATGACTGCATGTGAGGTCTGATCAGGTCTGGCAAATCACTAAGAATATGAGTTTATAAACTTGATCTTTCATTTGCTAAACTGCTCCTATTTGAGATTTGAGTTAATTTGTAGTTGTGTGGCTTTATCAGCTGTGCCAGTGTTATCAAATAGTGTAGCTCGGTGAAAGCAGATATGTAGAACAGAACAGATGGTAGAGAAGGCTCAGTATCCACATTACGTGCACTGTGGGGGCTTTACTTCAAACTAGAACTAGTCTGCTCCCACAGGCTGAATGCCACCAGCATCTGGAGTGCACAACTGGAGTGCAGCTTTTGGTTTCGTTTCATCCAAAACAAATCTAGTGCACACAATCTGAGATCATTCTACAATGACAGCAGAACCATGCTATGCAGGGACGATCGATTCATTTCCAAATGGCACCCTTACTCCGAAGTACAAGGTGAAAGCAGATGGTCCCCACTGTACCTAAGTGCCTTTGGAGTGCCCACCGTTACACAAGCTGTAAGGAGCACAGCTGAGTCCTTTACACTCAAAACAAGCCACAATATAAAAGACAGCATTTCTCCCCATGCTTTTCTTTAAAAAAACATCAGTGTAAATTTGCTGCAGCTTTCAGGTATCCATGGATTTCTGTCTGCAGCACCTGTTAGGGAAGGACAGTGTTGTCTTTCCTATGTTTGGGGAAATGGAGAACAGAGATTAAGCACCTTGAAAGGTCACAGAGAGAGCAAAAGACAGAGCAGATAAAGGAAACAGAGAGCCACAAAACCTACATGTCTTCACTGGAGTCACTGGGGAACACCAAGGAACTGTTGCATGTTTGACCTCAGTGGCCAAAACCTATTTGCAGTGGGTAGCACTGAGTTGCTTCCCTGCAAGAGAAAGGATTGGGTACTCCCTAGGCTAAACTATTGATTTTAGAAAGGCCTGTACTTCAAGCAGCAAGCCTGCAGTGCACACCACACTTACACAAGGATATCATTCCTTATAGTAGCGGTATCATCATGTGGTCATGGGCACTGACAAAAACTCATGTCTCTCTTCCCTTCCACTACTTTTCAGTGCGATTAGAGCTCTGAGCCTCTAAATCACTCTCTAGGTATCATCAGAGATGCCTGACTCATTAATACCTGTTATTGTGTATGTACAGGATCTTAAGCAATCTGAACGTGGCTCTTAATCTCTCTGCATCTCAATTCTTTGGCAAAAACATTTTCTCCTCATGCCCTCAAGCTAATAGGTTGCAAACAGGCATGGGACAAAGACTGTCTGAAAAATGGAAGCCAGGTTCTAGGGGAAATTCTGACACTGAATAGTGTTTTCTTTCCAAATCAGAACAAAAATCTCAGCTCTCAAATTTTTTCATGTACTAAAATTCTCTCCGTTTAAATTTTGGAAAATTTACATCCTTTCATTTTACTAATAAGGAAGCTATACACCATATAATATTAGTTATAACAGCTACATCATAAAATATTTTCAGTTCAGCCTGTAATCTAATATAAACATTGCAATGAAAAGATCATTTTGAAACATCTTGATAACAAAGACAGAAAGTTGAAATGATTTATTGAGACATTTTCTTGTTACTACTGGCATATTGCCATTTCAACCTGACTAGTTTCTGGTGAAAACCTCTTCTGTACATTTTTTTTTCCCAGACAGGTTTACTCACTGTGAGCTTGTCAGTCCAGTGATACTGGGCTGTGATCTGAGTTACACACGTAACTGCTACAGAAATACAAGACAAAACAAAGGACAAGAAGAATTATGTAGCTCTTGTAAAGTGACTGATTAGTTACTGAAGATGCTATAAATTCAATGTACTGGCTTAGGTTACTAAACTGTGTGGCAGCACACCACTGAGTCAAGCTACCAGGCATGGAGACACTTGAGACCTGGTAATAACAGTAAGCAGCTATTCTCCACAGCACATAACTTGGAATTTCATTAATTCAGAAGTTTTTATGTATTGAGGAAGGATTCTGGGACAAAAAGTGGTAGGTGACTACTTTCAATCACATTTTCAAAATGAATGAAAATAACATTTTTAATAAGTACATACAGAAGTTATCAATTTCAAAACAGGTGAAGTAGCAAGATAGATATTTAATTTAAGTGGGTTTTTTTTTTTAGCATTATTGTTTTGACACAGATTTAAAGTGAAGTGTTCAGGTTATGAATTCACAATAGAGACTAAAGGGAGCCTCTTAATAAATTAAACCAAAAAAAGAAATATCTTACTATATGCTCAACAGTCCTAAAAAAGAAAAAAAGGCAGGACTACTGCAGAAAAAAGTAGACAAGCACAGGCTCAGAGCATATCCATGTTCACTCACAGGAGTAACCTGAGCACATGTGAATGAATTCAGAGTTGAATAGGCTCACTTTCATACTCAGTTATTCACAAACCAAAGCATTTGAAGCATCAGGAACCTACAGAGACAGCATGGGATGCAGGTGTTACAAGGCACTGACTTGTATTTGGAATATAATGTTTTAACAACAATTAATTCTTTGCAAGACATGCAGATGATGCACACTACCAGGACCTTCTTCTCTTAAAACTGATTTAATAGAAGAAAATTTTCTTCAGCATAGGTCCACAGCCCATAGACCAGCTCATAAAGGACTTTTTTTTCCTAACTTGGATAAAAATGGCATTGTCAAACATGGGACTAAGGCTAGATTACTGACAGCAGGCAGGTGGCTGCATGGAAACGGAGATGTAAGAAGAGGACAGAACATAAATCAAACAGATATTTAGGATCTCACGAGTGAAAGGACAGACACTGTAGGTATGAGGCGTGAAGCCATAAAGAAATTCCAAATAGAAGGGCATGGAGAAGGAGATCTGTACATAGTGCCACACAATGAAGGTTGTCCCCTTCCAGTTGTCTCTGTACTGACTTGAAACAAGGTATTGGGACACCAGAAAGAATGAGATGAAGGTTCACAAGAATGCCCAAGGAAAGCATGTAAATTATTTATTAGTATGGACAGTCACAAAAAGTACAGACTCTGAATGTAGCAGAAAAGTGCAAATCAAGGAACATGAAAGTAATGGAAACTTCATAGGGGCATTGTGGTTGCTGTCAATGGTTAAGTGAACAGAGGAGAAAAGAATATTTACAAGACAAAAGTATGACTCCGGTTTTCTTCAAAACAGGAACAAAAAGTTATGACAGTCAGTGAGAAGGTCAGAGACAGGATTTAGGAACCAGCGACCTATCAAAATAGAGAAGATGGTTGTAGTCAAAGGTTTGGATTCAATCACCTACAAAGAGATTACAGAGAGTGAAAGCTGAACTCTCAAGGGCAGGACCTGCACAGCATAGGAGAGGTGAGAAGAACTCACTGAGGCAGAAAATGAAAGTACACATGACAAACCAGGATGATGCAATGCCTTGAAAATCATAGGCTATTTGTTTAGTCCCACCAATGCTAACACATATATCCATCACACTTGTACACAGTAACAAGCTGCACACATTCACAAATACAGATTGACTCCTATTGCCAGAGGAAATCTGATGAAATAATGCAGGAGCACCATAGTACAGTCCATTCCCTTTTTAGCTTTAACAAAGCGACCTGCTCCAAGATACTCTGCTGCAAAGTCTGTGCTGAATGCAACAACCTTCATATAGAATTGCCTTTGCACTCACTACTATGTAGCAGGTGACATCATACAGAAGTTAAGACTTCCTAACCATTAATAGATGCCACTAATTGCAGTAAGTCTCAGGACCTTAAAGCTATTTGCTTTCAAATTGCCAAGGCTGAATCTATTAAAGGCAGGAAATCACATTAGGTTTTTCTCTCCAAAAATAATAAAAAAATTGTACTCCTGGCATGACTCAGAGATGGAGGGAGATAGTTTAAATACACACAAAGCTGGGTCGCAAAAACATGGAGCTGTATGCATATAAGTGCCATGTGCATGCTAAGATAAGTCCATGCCACAGACCTAGATACAAACCTCACTTGGTCTGGAAAGTTGGTCTTGATTCCAGGTGAATTGTTAGGCAGACAAGAAGACATATAAAGTTCAGAACCCACACGAGCTCCACAAAGGCAGGATTCGTTTGGATCTGACATTTTGGTATGTGACTCTGGCCTTTAGAGCTTCATTTTCAGTGGGACCCAGTTCGGTATTTTGTCACAAATCTTGATATTCACTGACCTGTCTGTGCAGAAGAATGAATTTATGGGGGTCCCCATCTGCCCAAGGAGGAAGCTGCACATCTCCCAGCACTGTTCCATCCTGCATGCAGCCTACAGATATTACAAAAGGAGAATTAAAAACAAGAATCACACACATTGCAAATAAGAACACCTTTTCTAAAACACTGAAGTCAAAGGAAATTGAGGTAATTCTCACACATGCAGTTTCAGATTCTACATAAAATATAGAGCCATAAAACACTGCAGAATCAATTTCTCCTGAGATTTCTGATCCAGTAATAAAGCATTGAGAAGATGTTCTAGTAACTGTTGCTAGTACACTAAAAATATGCACATCCTCAGCACAAACCGTTTTAGCACAATATGCAACCTCAGACAAGACAAACCTATTGGCACAAGTTTCTTTCTATACATAATCCTGTGGGCCTAACTGACATATTCCTACTAAAGCACCTACTGAGAGCGATTTTTTTTCTCAAGTCCTTTGCAATCTGACTCCTTTCAGAAGGTGAATACATGTTCTTAAATCAGAGCACAGTGTTGCACAACTGGATGAACGCATATCCAAGTTGAGGCTCAGATCTGGGACCGCAAGTTTCCTTACAGTGTAGCAGGGAACAGATTCAAGTTCTTGACTTTGCCTACTGTAAAATCTTTCTGTATATTTGCTCCCTATTAGTAAGATTCTGGTGTCTTTTTTAGGTCCCTCCACTTGATTCCACTCAGGTCAGTCTCTGGATCTTGATTTCAGACAGGCTATGTTTCTTGGCCTCCTCTCAAGATGAAGCTACCCCAACTCTTTCTTATCCTTTACGAATCTTCTAACATCTTTTTCCCATTCTGCTCTTTTCTTAGCATGTCTCATTTCACTGAAATCTTAAATACAATTATAGCTAGACCTCAATACCATGGGTTAATTTGCTTTTTACATCACCAGTTTAGGATGATTCTTAAGATATTTCTCCTCTGCCTTAATTGTTAACCAACCTGTGTTCACTACAAAAAGCAACTTTGCATTGCAAATGATGTGAATTTCCTGTAAAGTAAAGTGAATCAGGACTGTCATGACTATTTCTGAATGCTATTTTTTCTGGATTCTCTCTGGCCCTCCATCATTGATGCAGAAAGGTCTAGAGATAGTGTACATTCAGAATCGATTGTGATGCTCCTTGAGGCCAGGGATTATATACCAAGTTCATGTGACTTGTGCAGAACCTTTCAAGACAATAGTGAGGACATTTGGCAACTTTAATCACCATCACTTTAATCCGCCTTTGTCTGACAAAATGTGTCTTTGCATAGTAATTAATAGGAACTATAATCCCTTTTGAGCTGGAAACTTGGTTCTGATATCATTCAGATACCAGAAGCTTGTATTCTTGTAGCATTATTTTAATAAAAGTGTATCTCCCATAGCTTGAGAGCCTCATCAGTCTGCATAGTCCAGGGACCAACTCTCAACATGTGATTGGGATCTCTTTCCTTGGCAGGATGCTGCGGAGTGAAAGAGAGGGCACTGAAGTCCCTTCTAGAACTTACCAAGTTCAAAGCGATTTGCATTGGTTAGGAACTCTGGCAAGTAAAAGAATTCAGGAATGAGTTCCCTGACATCACTCATATTGTCCCTTGATGCCGATTCCCATGTGCTCTTGACACTGTGAAACATCCTGTCTGCAACATCAAAACTCCCGCCCTGTGAAGACAGATAAATGGAGACAGACAAAAAGACTGGAGTGTGAATATTCTGTTAAATAAAAAGCAGATGCAGAATATTAGCCAATTCTGCAATAATCACCTTATCACATGTTTGATCAGGTGATATCTCAAGACCTGTCCCAGCTCTATATATTGTGATCTTGTATCATCTTAGTCCTAATTTGTAGATACGTACGTTGAGAATACCATAAAACTTGGAGTCTTAGCATAGCTTGCAATAACATGGGGGCAAGCAGAAATTATCATGGGCATATGCCTTATATTGGAATCATATTTCCTACTGGATTTGTGAAAATCCAAGTTCACCTTTACATAGGGATCCCTACATTGAGCATGAAATGATTTATTTTAACATAAAATTTCTACAATAATGGAAATAACCAAATATAAATCAGTTTTTGGAGATCACCTGAATGAATTTGTCCAAAAGAACAAGCTGTTTCAGAAGAGAGCTGACTTTTTAACTGTATAAAGTGATAGAACCAAATTGTTTCCCAATACCTAGTTCAGGTGCTGGCAGCAGTATAGTTGCCCAACTGCAGCATGGTCCTTGGCTAATATAGGCATTTCTCATGGGAGTTAATTAATTTGGATTATTAACACTACATCCCACTGCCAAGGCTCAAGAGAGAGTGTCAGAGATAGAATAACTATCTTTAAATAGTTGTGCAGTACAGTGAAAATGTATGAATGATTGCTCATCCTCAACCATTCAATCTTCAAAGCTGCTTCACTAGGCAAAAAGAATAAGCCAGCGGGATTGCAGAATGAAGACACTAAAACCCACAGGTGGTGCAAGAGTCAATCTGTTAATGAATATGAGACACAGTCAGGTTCTGTCTATGGCTGACCTCTTGGGAAAACTTGACAGCTTTTGGTTTGTTTTCTCTCTGCCTGTAGACAGCTGCATGTGCCAGATGAGGAGGATGCTGTCCTTCTGCACAATAACAGTCAGCTGAAGCTTTAATTTGCAATCTATTAAATAGTAAAATAACATCTAAGCATCCTTTTGCTGTAAGGATGGGATCCCATTCCCACAGACCAGATGAACCCTGAGCAGCAGTTCCCACATCAGTTTCTGACAGTAAAAACCACTTCCCTTTTGACCCCAAGTACCTGCACGCTTACAATGCAGCTCCTTTGGATCTACAAACTCTGCTAAGTCTGGGAACTGCAAGTCAAGAAATAACTTTTGCTATTATCTTTTGTTAGGGAGAAACAACCCTCATGGATAAGCATCAGCAAAACACAGGAGCCTATAAACCCTAAGTTCTGAAGCCACATCTCCTTGCTTGTCTTTTGAGACAGACTCCCATCAAAAGCCAACACATATTCCAGATGGAAAGATCCCGTCCCTGTTTCCCCTGAGGTGAATTCTGACCAGGCTTTTGGTCCAGCCTCATCTCTAAATGACAGCATAGTTTTGCTTTGCTTCCTTATACCACTGAAAATTGTGAAGCCTTCCCACATCCACTCAAGGGACTGAGTGAAAAAGTGGCTAATCACATGAGTAAACCTAGCTGGAGTTAATCTGACGCACAAGGTCATCTTGTTCTTGATCATTATTAGGCAGGGACCCTTGGAGTCAAATTCAAATTGAAATTAAAACAGAGTAGAAAAAGGACTATAAATAAATCAACAGCTAACAAGTATCTCATTGAAGCATATTAAAGGGCTTTGTATATTTAATCTGCACACAGTGCGCTGTGTCTGGTGATGATTGATGCTTTTTCATCTTTTTTTGCAGCTTTTATGAGAGCTGATGGTAATCTCCTGAGAAACAATATGATTTGTAATAAAAAGATTACCTGTATTAAATAAAAATAATATATACATAGGAAATGCTGTTAGCGCGACAAATCTGGTTAAAGATATTACCACCACGAAAAAATGTGATTTTTTCCCTGGCTGTCTAATTCATTTTAGGGAAAAGTAATATCTTTAAAACTTAAGCCTGTATTATTTATAAAGGAAGCAATAACTGATTTTCCCATTTCCTATATTAATAAATTTATTTGCATATATTTATATCAGAATTAATGAGTTTTCTCTCTCTATGAATGCAAAAACTGCACTGAAAGGGAAAAAGAGAATCAAGAATTGCTTTATGCCTTTAGATTGCAAGTTGACATAAACTTCTGGCTTTTCTATGGCTAGACACAGTAACTCTGTTTCCTTTCAGTAGAGGCCTTAAGCTGTCATCAGGAATACTGGAAAAATATGCTTTTTAAAACTACAGTT